AGTTGGACGTTGGAGTCCATGGCAGCCATCAAAGTCAAACCCCTTGATGTCCAGGCCCTGGATGATGGAGCTTGCCTCCTAGGCCACAAGAGTTGACTGCCATCACAAGTCGAAACTTGTGTACCACCCACTCTTCGCAGGATGTAGAAGAGGGTGTGGTGATTAACCGCCTTGACGGTTGTCTAGTGTCGAAGAGATAAACCCCTCAAGGCGCGTATTAGCCGACACTTGAGGGTCGAAAAGTGACCCCGAAATTATCGAGGGTCGCACGATTGTGGGTACCACATAGTACTCCATCGTTGCAACTACGTGCGTATACTTGCATTGTTGGTCGATATGAGATAAGTCTTGCGTCCACGTGATTTTATCTTAAGCCTCGCGCGCGACGCCTAATTGATTTCCATGTTAAAAGGTTATGGGTTAAATAATGAAGGGACTAGGAGAGTTTTTGTTTTTGTGTGTGTATTTTAATTTTATTATGGTGTAACACGTGGTGAGTGGATTGCGTCCTAGTCGACCGACAATGAGTCGTGCTTGGGATCTCAGCCCCCCAATACGTCGATTCACGTGCGGGGCCGATTGAGAGGCGTTGACCGTGCGTACCCCCTATGCTACAACGAACGAGAAACGCCCTTGGTCGGACCACATCTGCGATTGTATACGAAAAGCTTTCGCACGTAGTTTGGTAGCTCGGCGGGGATACACCCACTCAAGGGATGGTGACAGCTCTCGCAGGTGGAGGTAAGGCGTGCCTCGCGTGACCCTGTCCTGTTGTAGGGACCCACGAGAGGTACGGCAGGCGCACTCAGTCAGAGCGGCAAACCGCGCTCTACGACGAAGTCCTGCAAAATCATGTGTGACACGACCGGGAGGGTCTCCCTGCGGGACCGATGCGCTCGACAGCGGTTTGTCCCGTGCTCCTCCCCGCACGAGTACTGCGCCCTCGTCCGACCTACCACCGCCCTCTTGATTACCTCAGAGTCTCCTTCTCTCCTCTTCCCCACATTGAATTCCCTCTAACATACCGTATTTTCGCTAACCAACTTTTCTGTCACCACTCTGCCGTGTGACTCTTATGCACGATCTTCCCTCACCGCTCCCCGTCATTCCCCCTCAACATCCTTCTCTTCATTGTCGCCTGAAGACAGTACAACCATATGGAGTTGTACTGTATTATCTCTGCAACATTCCCCGCAGTAGAGGACTATGAGTCCCTTCGTGATAATATCCTCCGCACTATCCCTACCCTCTATCCCGACTACCTTCTCTCCCTCTCCTGACCCAACCATCGATTCCCGCGAGCGCACCGAATCGTCCACTTTGTCGATCTCGAGGACGAAGCATCTGATTATTTTCCTCCCCTCCCGACCGAATGACCCAGACCCCCCCAACAACCCTCTTCTCGTGAACTATCGGCGATTGGACTTTCAGTAGCCAAGTAGATTGACGAGCTGTGATGTTACAGGGTATGGCGCACAAAAAAACTGGGTGGCCAAGATCTCAGAAGCCTGGAGCTAGCCAAGTCATCAAGATATTGCCATTGAAGATGGTGTCAACAAGACTCCTGGCTTGATCTAGTGATTGTGATACGCTGGATTCCTCGTTCATCTCCTCACCATCTCCAATCTCATGTGCCATAACTCTCCTCCATGCAATCAGGAGATCGCATAG